GGCTGGGGGGGGGGCTCTGCAACTTACCTGCTCCTCGTGGCCCGACTGAGGGCCTGTTGGGAGCAAGGGGTAGGGCTTGATACATGTGCCCGCCCTCTGGGCTCTTTACTGCCGGAGCTCCGCTCCTATGCGCTCCCACAGGAAATGACCCCTGCTTCTATCTCTGTAAATAAGACAAGAAGTGGAAAGAAATTATACAATTGTGTTCAGAAGAAGGAACTACAAAACGACACGGGACATTCCGGAGCACATCGTTAACATCAACATTTTTTGCGTCGCCAGCGTTATTTTCTTTGTAGCTTTGCACTATAAAAAATATTGCACATATTATTGTATTTTTCCATTACCTGAAAAAGCATATTTTTGATTATTGCAGTACAGTATTATTTATCTTAGCGTCCTTATCACAGTGTTTTTTTTCCCTGTTAACCATAACTTTCCATACTGTGTACCATTTTTGATTATTTTTGTGTTGGTCTGAAGTGACAGAACAAATTTAGAGTCCGGTAGCCCCTTTAACTAAGGAGCTGCGGTGGCTCAAGTGGTTAAGACGCTGAACTGCAGGCTGTGGAAGGTCGGTAGTTCAGCAGTTCGAGACCCGGGTGCCGCATGATGGAGTGAGCTCCCATCTCTAGTTCCAGCTCTTGCCAACCTAGCAGTTCGAAAGCAAGAAATTCCCACTTCGGTGGGAAGGTCACAGCGTTCCGTGCGCCTTGGTGTTTAGTCATGCCGGCCACATGACCATGGAAATGTCTTTGGACAGCGCTGGCTCTTCGGCTTGGAAACAGGGATGAGCACCGCAACCCTAGAGTCGGATTCGACTGGCTTTTGAGCAAGGGAACCTTTACCTAGCCCCTTGAAGACCAGCAAAGTCTTATTCAAGGTATGAGCTTTCGTGTGCACGCACACTTTTCCAAATAAAGCTTGGTCGGCCTTAAAGGTGCCACTGGACTTTAAATTTGCTCTCCTTGGATGGGAGACCACCAAGGAAGTCCAGGGTTCCTGCGCAGAGGGCAGGCAATGGTAAACCACCTCTGTTCCTCTCTTGCCTTGAAAACCCGACATCTGTCACTCTAATTTGGCTGAAACTTGACAGCACTTTCTATCAGTTGTAGTCAAGTGGGGCCACACCCTTAACGCAGAGGATGGATCCGCGTTTTACCTACAAGCATGCTCTAAGCATGAGGAAGGAACACCCTCCCATTATATTTGGGAGCACAATCAAGCAGGTAAGGGGTATTAAGGGAAAACTAATCGGGGTAAAAGGAGCTGTGGTGGCTCAAGTAGTTAACATGCTGAACTGCAGGCTGTGGAAGGTCGGTAGTTCAGCAGTTCAAGACCCGGGTGCCGCATGACGGAGTGAGCTCCCGTCTCTAGTTCCAACTCCTGCCAACCTAGCAGTTCGAAAGCAAGACATTGCAAGTAGATAAATAGGTACCACTTCGGTGGGAAGGTAACAGCGGCGTTCCGTGCGCCTCGGTGTTTAGTCATGCCGGCCACATGACCACAGAAACGTCTTCGGACAGCGCTGGCTCTTCGGCTTTGAAATGGAGATGAGCACCGCCACCCTAGAGTTGGATTCGACTGGCTTTCGAGTAAGGGGAACCTTTACCTTTAATCGGGGTAAAGGGGTCACTGGAAAAGCTGGGGAAGAACGAAGGTGGCCGGCTCTGGGTTGGAAAATTCTTGAGGGTGGAGCCTGGGGGAGACAGGGCTTGGAGAGAGGCGGGACCCTCTGTGGGGTATAATGCCACCTAGAGTCTGCTCTCCGAAGCCATGGGGAACTGTTTTCTGTATTCTGGAGATCAGTAGGAATTCCAGTGGAATCTCTGGGACCCACATGGAAGTTGGCAAGCCTAGAAGGAACCCAAAGTCACCGCATCTCATCTTGTCCCCCAAAAGGCAGTTTCAGCCAACCCGTCAGAAGCCAGTTTGGTGTCGTTGTGACGTGCGCAGACTCTAATCTGGGAGAGCCGGGTTTGATTCCCCACTCCTCCACTTGCACCTGCTGGATGACCTTGGGCAAGCCGTAGTTCTGACAAGAGCTGTTCTTGGAAAAGAGCCGTTTCTGCCCAGAGCTCTCTCAGCCCCACCTGCCTCCCAGGGAGTCTGTCGTGGGGAGGGGAAGGGAAAGAAGTTTGTAAGCCGCTCTGGGACTCCCTTGGGTAGTGAAGGGAGGGGTATAAATCCAATCTCTTCTCCTCTTCTTCTTCCTCCTATTCACACTTAGTCAGTCTTATTGCTCGCAGTGGGATTCGCTTCCGGGACAGAAAGAGGAGGAATAAAAATCTACCCATTTCAGCGGGTCTTCTCTGGATAAATCTGCTGGCAACCCTTTCAGTCGAGGCTTGCTTTTCCAGCTCACTTCCTCGAGCAACTCGGGCAGTGCGATGGGGAAGGCACAGAGCTCACTGCCTGGCACCACTGATTCAAAAGCCAATGGGCGCTCCTGCCCAGACCCATGCTATGGCAGTGTGCAGAAAGCAGCAGTGTGTGTACCTTGCTTTGGATGACGCAACACCTGAGACGCCCCTTCCGTCATAGCCCTGGGTTTGGTGGGAGCTGAATCTAGGCCCACAATCCCACGTTGGCACTTAGGGTGGTCCTAGTTTGGTGTAGTGGTTAAGTGCACGGACTCTTATCTGGGAGAACCGTGTTTGATTCCCCACTCCTCCACTTGCAGCTGCTGGATGACCTTGGGCAAGCCGTAGTTCTGACAAGAGCTGTCCTTGGAAAAGAGCCGTTTCTGTCAAGAGCTCTCTCAGCCCCACCTACCTCACCGGGTGTCTGTCGTGGGGAGGGGAAGGGAAAGGAGTTAGTAAGCCGCTCTGAGACTCCTCTGGGTAGTGAAGGGCGGGGTATAAATCCAATCTCTTCTTCTTTTACCTCACAGGGTGTCTGTTGTGGGGAGGGGAAGGGAAAGGAGTTTGTAAGCTGTTCTGAGACACCTCTGGGTAGTGAAGGGCGGGGTATAAATCCAATCTCCTCTTCTCTTCTTCTTCCTCCTATTCATACTTAGTCAGTCTTATTTCTCGCAGTGGGATTCGCTTCTAGGACAGGAGGAGGAGGAATAAAAATCTACCCATTTCAGTTTTTTTTCTATTTATTATTATTTCTTAGCAAATCTCTTAAAGGCAACAGAAGGTGAAATAACAAACAGAACGGCACCGGTTAGTACTCACAGCTCAAAGACATCAGGCAGTGCAAATATTTGCTCATCTAACTCAATGTGATCACTGTTATTCATATTCAAACCCACCCCCGGGGGGGAAGAGGACAGAACAGCAGGAAAACATGAACTGGTGTCATCGCCGATTTCTGAAGAAGAATCTCTGCAAGGAATGTTTAACATAGATAAATAAAGTCGGGGCTTGCAGACCACCAGGGATTTGTCATTTTAACACTAGACCAGGAGTCCTGTTGGGTGCATTGGCCCTCCTCGGCTTTATTTTACTAGGGGAAAGGTTTGCACGGTGGCTCCGGAAGGGGCAATCCCTGAACGGAGCCCCGACTCCCTGATTCTAAAGTTATTTGGTTAATTTCCTCGAAACAGAACTTTGAGGCACAGATGGAGCGGATCCATTTTGCCAGATACTCCAGTAATTTGTCTTGTGGCAATCATTTTGAGTGGGAAGTGCGGACTAACAAATCTAATGTGTGTTCCTCACCTGCCCAATTAGTTTTCCGCAGCGCTTTTAACAGAACTGTTTCAAACAAAGCCGGATCTGCAGAGAATTACGCCTTGAGTTCCAGATAATAATGCATGTGGGCATAAACATCTTTCTTTTACACGCAAAATTAGCCATCAACAGTATTCTCATAGGTCAGTCGCACCATTATTCTTTTACAAGCATGACAGGAGAATCACAGCTGAAACCTACTATTTTCTTTTTGAATTGCCTTCGATATGGCTTAATTGTGGGTTCTTTTAAAAAGAAGAATACCTGTTTGGGCTGAGATTCAACACAGATTTTATGTTTACCATTTTGAACACCTGGCTAAGAAATAAGCTTAATGTATATCCGTCATCCTTTGTCAGTTTTTAATCAAACACAATGAAGATTCTAAAATAACATTTATAAAAACAGTCTTCTTCGCACACCGCCATCAATGAAGCCTTAAACTCACCCGGTTTTAGAAATAATCTTTTAACATGTCATTTTAAAGCAGAGATAATTCCTCGCCTTTCAAAATCATATAAATATTTTAAGCTCGATCAAGTTTATTGTGCATATTTGTTTTTCCTTCTTTCTGTCATTGTAACGGAAACAATCGGTGGCGATTACTACTAAATTGCTTTTAATTCTTCATACAAAATTCCCCTTATTTACATCTGATTGGGCACGACAAGGTCTTGTGCAAAAAATGTAGCTTCTCTCACTTCCTGTGTTTTAAAAAATAATTTACTTACAAAACATCAATAGAAGATCAAAATAGCTTCCGTCTTTGCTCTCTGTCTTAAAACTATTTTCTGACCGCTGCGGGGGGGAAAACAAGACTTCCAAGGGAGTCACCGACTTTAAACATTTGTTTTTTTTAGCCTCGTTGCCTTCTTAGAAGTCTTCCCGCAACTTCGTTAAAAAAATCATTTTTCTTGCTGGAGTACGTTTTTGCTTTCCTGTACTGCATCATTACAAAACAACGTTCGGGGCTCAGCCCGTACAGTCACTGACTTTTAGAGCCACTATTGATTGCTAAACAAATCTCTCTGCTTCCTTCTCCTTATAGGCAGAGGAATACGGTCGTGTCTCCCTGCGAGAACATATTTATTTTCCATCCCCACCTCCTCACTTTCTAAGAACATTTTTTAAAATGTCAAGTGCATGTACTTCTCCTGTTCTCCAGAAAAAGCCATATTTCAGTGCCAGCTGAACCCGCGGCCTGTCGCTTGTGGGTCTGAAAAAAGAGGAAAGAACGTCAAGATGACTGGCTGGACCAGAACATCTTTCTCATGGCTTGTCACCAAAAAACCTAATCCCAGGTGACCCGCATCCCCTTTAAGAAATGTTATTTAACTGGCACATGGATATTCAGCTACACTGAAGTTTTGCATCCTCCAATAAATCAGAAGATTGAACTGTCACAGTGGCACCAGTAATCTACGCTCTTGGTCCAGTGCCAAGAGCAGAAACAGAACCTTGAAGAACATTTACTTTTTTTTAACTGCCAGTCAATTATTTCTTTCCTACTTCATTCACTATTACTTGGCTGTGAACCTCTTAAAGGGAATGTCCAGTGTTAGACAGAGATAGAGGGGGGTCACCTCGGCCACGAGAGGGAATCAGTGGGGTTGTCAGGTCAGAAGGGGCTCATCGTCCCACGATGCATCTGTGTTCTGGAGCCGAGGGTCGGTGAGAGGGACCAGCAACACGTCGTCTTCATCCTCGGGGGACGGGGGCACGCTGAGGGTGTCGCCGGCCTCTACAGAGCATGGAGGTGCAGGGGGAAAGAGCCGGACACGGAGAGTTTGCATCATTCCTGAGAGACACGGAGTGGGAGGGGGGCGAGGGGCCTGGGGCTCCAGCAAAGGCTCGGGAGTAGGCGGGACTTTCTGAGGAAGAGGCGGGGCCTGCTCTTCGTGTTGGACGGAAGTCGTATTTTCTTCCCCCGAAAGCAGCTCGGGCTGGGTGTCAGGAGCAGACTGGGGAGAAGAGGCGGCGCCACCGGTTACGGTTGTCGTGGCAGAGGAAGATGGAGGGGGCCTAGGGAGGAGTCCCCACCGACGCATGCGCCTCACGAGGCGGCGCAGGAAGCGGCTGCGGTGTGGGTGGCGACCCCCGTTGGGGGCAGTGGCGGCGGCTGGGTCACGGCGCAACAGATGCAACAGAGACCGCAGATTCCCCAGCACCGAGTTCTGGAACGAGACAGAAAGAAATCAGCTGAGACGTAAATCAAACTCAGCCTCGGTCAAGGAGATAAGGCAGACTTCAAGACTGGCAGACCTCATAGTAAGATGAGCCCTGATTGGCTAATATTTAACATGCCCTCACGTAAGGTTCAAGCGGAGGTTTCTGTTGTCTGCTAGGAACTACTGTGGCAGCCATGTTGCCCGCGTAACGGGCCGTTTAGACAGGTCAGAGACAGAATCGTGAAGGGAACCTCGCGCCTCCCCCAAAATCAGATCTGGCTGACCATGAGGAGCCGGAGGTGGATAACACAGGAAGGCCGAGAAACCTGCTCTGTATCGGATGGACCAAAACAAAAAGCTGAGGGAAACAGATACAGAGATGGGCTAAGTGCTGGCCGACGCCCACCCTTGAGGCCTTATGGGGGAAAAGCAAGGCGAACAGTGGGGCCGTCTCACCTGACTGGGGTGCTCGGTAGGGAAGCCATCGACGGGGGGGATGACGCCACGAGCGATGAGTTGCCCGTAGGAAGGGGGAGCTTGCCGCTGGACCATCTGGGCCTCCATCCGTGACATGGGGGCTACGACCCTGCAGAGGGGAAGGGTAGAGATAAAAATTACAGCCCCCCAGCTACCTCCCCTTCCTAAACAGCCATCGCCAGCCGGCTCTCCTTCCTTTGCCATCCTCTTCTGCCTTTCCCCATTTGTCTGCTTTGCGTGATGCCGGGGGTATAACCAGTGCGCCCTCCAAGCTGTGGAGTCTGGTGAGCAAAAATCCTACTTTGTGAGCGACCGGCATTAAAGTTGTGAGCGAGCCATTTGGCTGCTGCGTACATCAGTCTGCTCTGGAGCCATGCTTCCTGAGCCAAAACAAACAGGTGTGAGCCGGAGGCTAGAAAACAGAGCTAGCTCAACCTCAATCAGCTTAGAGGGAACACCAGGCATAACCCTGATACTACAGCAATTACACTGGCTATTGATCTGCTCCTGAGCCCAATTCAAGGCGCTGGTTTTGACCTTTCAAGCCCTACAGGCTTGGGATGACAGTATATGAAGGGATTGTTTTCTCACATACATTCCTGCCTGGGAACTAAGATTACAGGTAGAGGCCCTCCTCACTCTCCCACCAATTAAAGAAGCACGTCTGGTGGACACAAGAGAGACGGCCTTTTCGGTGGCAGCCCCACAATTACAGAGCAGCCCCCCAAGGAGGCGTGCCTGTCCCCTTCGCTCTTAGGACGCAGCTGAAGCCAGTTTTAATGAGGACGGCGTGCAACCGCTTTAGCTTTTATTTATCAGCAGTCCCTGCCTGGAGATCTTGGATTGTGACCTTTTATGTGTTTTACAGTGTCTATTTACATTGTTTTTATCATTGTTTCATTTATATCGCAAGCCACCTTGCGTTCCACAGAGCAGAAAGGCAGCTAATAAGTGTTTTACATAAATACAAGATGCCTTCGAGCTCCGATAGCTGAGTTTGGGAGGCACCCGCTTCCACCTCAGCACTGCCCTCTACTTTTGGTCCACCACGGCTGTGGTCACACGGGCAGGAAAATGCGGGGGGAAGCGTGGCTGTTTGCCCCGGGGCAAAATAACGCGCAGTTGCGCGAACAGACATCCCGTGGAGGTCCCGTGGTAGGGGGGAGGTGCCAATCACACTACAATCCTGCAGCGCGGCAAAGAAGCGCCGCGGCAAACGGGTGGTTTTTTTCCCTGTACACCGATGTGTGCGCATGCCCCGTTGGGTGCTTGTGTGCATCCCAAGGACACTTGAAAAAAAAAAAACCTTTTTGCAAGGGGACATGGGCAGGCGCCGGATGCTATTGGATTCCACCAGAAACACGATCACGCGCCCGCCCTTGCCCCGCGGTTTCCGGAAACTAGTACCTCCGAGGTACTAGTTTTTTACTGCGCATCTTTGGAGTGAAGCCTCGGGTGAGCCACGGGAGCTCTACGCTTCCCAGATGTGGCGGTGAGATCGCGCTCGAAAAATCCGCCTATCTTCCGTCTCTCTAGCGTGCCTAATGCTCCGTGTGACCGCAGCCCACGTTGAGCTTTCTGGCACCACCTGACAGAGTTCCCTTGCCGACCTACCCGTCCCTCCTTCCCTCCCTAGAACATCTATCTTGGGTCCTTATCTCATCGGAGCCGTCTCTGTACAAGTCTCCGAGGCCCCCCGGTGGGCCAGTTCTGCCCCCTCACCCAAACTCGTGGCTGCGGAGGGCGTAGAGGCGGCAAGTGCAGCCCAGCGCGATCACCAGGAGGAGGCCGCAGACCAGGCTGCCGATGACCGCCGCCGTCACCACTTTGCGCGGGAGGACGTAGGAGCAGTCCGCCTCGTCGGAGCCGTCGGTGCAGTCCGCCTGCCCGTCGCACACCCAGCTCTCGTAGATGCAGCGCCCGTCCCGACACCTGAAATTGCCTGGCTGGCACGTGTAGCAGTGCCGCTCGTCGGCGGCATCCGCACACAAGGTCTGGTAATTGCAGCGGTCGGCCGGCCCGTAGCAGGCGGCCCCGCTGGAGCCTCCCCCGCCACAAGGGAAATGCCCGTGTGGACAGCCGCCGCAGCCGTCCTCGTCGGCGCCGTTGGCGCAGTCCCAGATGCCGTCGCAGTGCTCGGCGGCGCTGTAGCAGCTGGCCCCTTCGCCGTCTCCGCCGCCACATGGAAAATCCCACGGGACACAGTAGCCCTGCACGTGGTAAGTGGCATTGAACCCCAGGCGTGTCGTTCCCGGGACAGCCTGGTACAGGACCCACGCACGGCTGGACGGGGAGTCGACGGAAACAACCTTGCCGTTGCTGGTGTAGTCCAAGTTGCGCAGCAAGCGAGGGCGGGGCGTGCTGCCGGGCGCCCCCTCGTACACCAGCAGAGAGTCCCGGACGTCCAGGTCGATGGCGGTAAAGCGGATGCTCAGCGGGCGGCTGTCGTGGGCATCCAGGGCCCACTGGCAGTGGGCGGCCCCCGGGTGCGCGTCCGGGGGCCACGCCGGTGAAAAAATCACCCCGTAGAAGTTGTCCAGGGAGAGGTTGCACAGCGGGGCTCTTGGTTCTGTAGCAGGGGGAGAGACGGGAGTACGGAAGAGAAAGTGAAGACAGCCCGAGGGATGGGAGGAAACACAAAACAGGCACGATTTGTATTTCACGAGTCAGGCATCCCTGGGGAAATGGACAGGGAAAGGGACATAAGTGACTGAGAATACCCCCTCCCCTTCCCAATTTCCCCTTAAAGATACATATACTGATAGGCATTTGAACAGGCCCGTTTCCTCTGCCTCCTGTTTCCTGTCCTCCCTTTTAACTGATGTTCAGCCCTGACCTGGAGAGTGCAGGCTAGCCCAATGTCGTCAGATCTCAGAAGCTAAGCAGGGTCAGCCTTGGCTAGTATTTGGAAGGGCGACCTCCAAGGAACACCACGGTCTTGACACAGAGACAGGCAATGGCAAACCACCTCTGAAATGTCTCTTGCCTTAAAAACAAGTCTAGATCGCCACCTAGTGGTGCATAATGCTAAAAAAGAGCTAGAACTCACTGCCAGACAATCTTAGGCTCTCCTGGCTGTTCTACATACAGTGCTATATGATAATTTTTATTTTTACTGATGTTCAGCTGCCCTCGATATTCTGTGTGTTTTAAGACAACAATATTCTATAAACAACTACATTTTTGGTTCAAGGCAAGGACTAGAGGGAAAGAAAAAAGCAAACGAACGGGGGGATAGACAGATAAACACGCAGAATGAGATAGATGGGGAAAGGATGCAGTTTGAGAGGGGCCATGCTGCAGGGGCAGAGGTTGCATTGTGCCCTCAGAATATTCTGTATTCATTCCCTGGCACCTCCACTTTGGTAGCAGATGTCACAAAAGACTCTTCTCTGCATGAGATCTTGGAGAATCTTTGCCAGTCTGAGCAGACAATACTGAGACAGATGGACTGATGATGATCTAACTCGGGAAAAGGCAGCTTTGTATGTCACATGCCGGGACTGGCAGAATTGGACTCAAGGAGCTCACACCCAAATCTTGACAGGGGTAGGAAAACAGTAAAATGGAGAAGAAAGAAAAAACAGAAAGTGGTGGGAATCAGAACGCAGAGCAGTATTAAAATGAGAACTCTTAGAGAGATGGAAGAACAAGCCCTGCTGAGGAAGAACAAATCCTGCCTCAGCAACCATTTGAAGTTCTTCGAGAGCAACGGAAAGCATATAGGTGGGGGTAGCCTCTGCTAAACGTTACAGAAGTGGATTTCTAAAAAAGCTCAGATAATGGCTCTGTCTAAAAGCAGGGTGTAATGATTCCATGTTTTGGTGTGTGCGTTCTTTTAAATGTTTAGTTTGACTGCAATACTGTAAGGAGAGTGATAGAGGGAGACAAGTGTATGACTGAGAGTGTGAGAGGAGATGTTCTGAGAGGATTCTGTGTGTGAAGTTTGAAGAGAGAGCATAGTCTATGGGACTATGGAATTCTGAGTCTAATTCTGTGTGAATAAGACCAACAGTTTAGTCTGTGTGACTAAGAGAGTTGAGTCTATTCAGTGTGAATAAGACCAACAGTTTAGTCTGTGTGACTAAGAGAGTTGAGTCTATTCAGTGTGAATAAAACAAAGAGACTAGTGGGGCTATGTATAGGAGAGAGAAAGTATGCTGAGTGTATAAGCCTGTCAGAGTGAAGTCTGGAGTTTGAGAGACCGTTTGTAGCACCAAGCTTTGCCAGTTACATTTACAAGTTCCTTTTGTCAGCAACGGTTCAAAATAACCAGAAACCTATTTTGTTCTCTATTAAATAGATCAATTTTGTTTAAACTTATCCCAGAAATCAGTACAGTACTTCCACAGGGCCACATAGTCCTCTGAAGGGCCCAGACCCTAGGCCATACTACCAAAAGAGAGAGATCTGGAATTTTTAATTCCTGGTGGCAGCAGAAAACTACCAAGTTCACGTACTCGGAGAGTGTTCAAAGGTAAAACCGTTTCCCCTATAAGCAAGGACGTCACACAGGGTAAAATTAACAGTTTCACAAAAACAGGACAGGTTCCCTTTTGGACCAGTCGCTGGCTGAAGCAAGGAAGCAGAGCTAAATAGCATCGGTTTGGGGACTGGTGCCATTTAAAAGAGCCGGACTCAAGGGAACGCAGCAAAGGAATCAAGCTGGCCGCCGACACCCTATCACCCTTCTACTGGAAGCAAGGCCTTAATGGTGGTGTGATGATTCCTTGTGTTAGAGTGTGTGTGTGTGTGTGTGTGTGTGTGTGTGTGTCTTTAAAGGTTTGGTTGCAGTGCACAATGCAGAGTAGAATGATGGAAAGCGACAGGTGGAGTATGATTGGTGGATGGCAGAGTGTGGGAGGAGTTATTCTGTGTGGATCTGTGTGGGTGTGTCAGTGAGAGATGGGAGAATGACAGTCGGGGATAATGACAGTGGGTGAAAAAAGCAGCGGATGTTGGGCAGCTGGGTTTTTCAGTCAGTGAGACCTCTGACAATGCTGTGTGGAGTCGGAGAGTGAGAGAGACTAGAGAATCTGTGTGGGATCCGAGAAGGATCAGTATGTGTGTGTTAAAGTGCTACAGCGGACAAGTTCATTTACAGAAACCTTATTCCCAGCCAGTTAAATAATTACCAACTTCTTATTTTGTTCCCCTTTCAATAAATCCTATTTTATTTAAATATATCCCAGAATTCATATCAATTCTTCCTCTGGACCACGATAGATCCCTGAAAAGCCTTGAGCCTGTGTTACCCTACCAATAAGAGAAACAGAAGGTTTGGAAATCCTTACATTCCTGGTGGCAGCCGAATCTACCCAGTTTTACAGAAATAAAGAGCACATTTAAAGAGAAATACAGTCCTCCCTAATAGGAGGTCGTCACAGGTGGTGGCCCCCAGATTTAGGAACAACCTTCTTCTGCAGGTGAGCAACCCGTTGTCTTGGCCGGCACTTCAGCGGGCTTGCTCAGTATTCAGAACTAGAAGCATTCCCCTAGTTTTGCGGAGTTTCAGCAAGTACCCAGAGGGTGCCTTGCTGCTGCACGAAGAGGTCATTTTGTGTACACACCCTGATATTCCAAAGCTCAGACCCATTTTGCTCTACGGATGCAGTCCAGCTTCAATAAAACCACTGTGAGATTCTCTCTACTGGAGCGGAATTACGAGACCTGTACTTTAGACCGACAAGGGGAGTTTCATGATTTAAGTTCCGCAAACGTCAATTTAGCTTTTGCTTTGGCTTATTTCTTTGTTCCGAGTGGCACGGAACTATCGTCACCCATCATAAACGTTCCCTCTGGATTGGGCCTAGTAAAAGGTCGGAGAATGCCAGACGCAGCAGTACCGCCAAAGCTATCCCTCCTTTTAAGAGCTCCGTGTATAATAAGCAGTTTTTAAAAAACAAAACCTTCCTTCCATGCAAATATTAGCGGCTGGATTGGGACGAAATAAAATCCCAGGGAAGGAGACCCGGCCGGCTCACCCACCCCTACATTGCGAGGGAGACACTGCTTGCCCAGCCCAACAGCACTTGCTGGAGAGGCCAGTGACGCTCCCTCTAAGCTGCGGATTCTGGTGAGCAAAAATTCTACTTGGTGAGCTGCTGGCATTAAAGTTGTGAGCGAGCGATTCGGCTGCTGCATGAATCAGTTTGCTCTGGAGCCCCATCCTTCCTGAGCTGAGACAAAAATCTGTGAGCTGGAGGCTAAAAAACGGTGAGCTAGCTCACACGAACTCAGCTTAGAGGGAACACTGGTTGCCAGGTCCCCTATGGCCACCGGCAGGGGGATGGGGGGGGGGTAGGGTTGCCAAATCCAGTTTGGAAAACTCCTGGAGATTTGGGGATGGACCCTGGGGAGGACAGGGACCTCAGTGGCGTGCAATACCATAGAGTCCACCTTCCAAAAGTAGCCAAATTGCTCGCTGACAGCCTGAATGCCAGTAGCTCACAAAGTAGAATTTTTGCTCACAAGACTCCACAGCTTAGAGGGAACATTGGCCACAGCTGTGGAGTCTTGTGAGCAAAAAATTCTACTTTGTGAGCTGCTGGCGTTAACGTTGCGAGCGAGCGATTTGGCTACTGCATAAATTACTTTGCTTTGGAGCCATCCTTCCCGAGCGAAGACAAAAATGTGTGAGCCAGAGATTTTAAAAAGTGTGAGCCAGCCCGCACTAACTCAGCTTAGAGGGAACGCTGGTCACAGCATCTTCCTGACCAGGGAAGATCAAGCATTTGGGTTTCTCAGATTAAGAGGCAAGATTAAGAGGCACATCATAGTGAGGTAGAAAGTTATACTTCAGAAACGGAAGACTGGGTGAGTTGCTGAACACGTGGGCGGGCAAAGGGAGAACCCGTGTAGATGTACGCAGTCGGATGACGGGTGACATGATCAAGGTTTATAAG